ACAATAGGGCACTTGGGACTTTTCACAACACAGGAGTGTGAAAACCAGATTTTTGTCGTGGAGTACTGTGGCATGAGTGAGAGGTAGATGAGTGGGTCAAGAGACTGCAGAGAAAGAGAGCAGCCCAGAGACTCATGTGATGACCCAGGGTGGGAAGAGAAGGCATGGAGTGGGGCAGGGGCAAGGCAAAGGGAGAGGGTGATGGGTGCCCGTGTCCCTGATGTGGAAAGTCAACAGAGTGTGTAGCTGGATGCAGGTAATAGAGAAAGAGTGGAATCTGGGACTCCCAGACTTCAGGCTTTGATTCACCATTTCTAAGACTGGCAATGCAGGAGGCCAGGTAGCTGGAGGAAGAAGTTAAAACCTGGGTTTTAACTGAACCCTGTGAGTTCTTGGACATCTAAAAGAAGAGGCCCTGTAGGATGGTGACTACTGTGTTCAGAGCCCAGGAGAAAAGGGCACAGTTGACATAATAGTTTTTCTAAAAGGTGTCCAGAAACTGTGCTGAAATGAAGCCCCTTTGCGGATATTTGTTCTGTTATAAAGTAGCAATATTTTAGGGAAAAGCATGTCTGAGGATAGCGTGTTGGCAGGCAGGACTCTAGAGAGATGATGTGACCAGTAAGAGGAGTGGTAGGACTTATTTTTCCACTATCAGTAATGGGATGCAGAGAGCTATAGACATACTTATCCAGGCTCCTTTGGGGCTAATTTGACAGAATTTGTCTGGAGCCCATGACTGTGGGTGTAGTTTGTGGCTAAGAAGGGTTTTCTCTGTGTGAAGATAACTGACCTATCTGGGCTTAAGCTCAGTGTTGGCTTGATTGGGCCGACTCTCCAAGCACCTGAGCAATCTCCCAGCATAAGGCTGCATGATATGCCAATCATCCTAATTATATGAGGCATCTGAAGGTTTGCAGCAAGGGGAAATTACTTTGATTTTCTAGAAAAGGTTTGAGAGCTCGTGATGGTTTTGTGGTTCCAAGGAATCCAGCCAGCTTTGTGCCTTATGGCGCTTAACAAGCTGATTGTTTGTGGAAACAGATGGAATACTTTCAGGCAGGTATCTACAGCATGGTTTAAACAGCGTTACAGGCCTTCCGGGGTAAGCAGACACACCTGTTGGTGTCCGTCCCTACGTACATGAAGAGCTTGATTTGGCCCTAGCAGGTAGTTGGTGGCAGACCTGTCTGCATGTGATAAATGGAATTTTGCTTCTTCTAATGGACCCTGAGAAGAGTAGAGTAGGCATTTAATCTGAATCTTGACCAGCCTGTTTACTCTCTTACTTTTTATTAATGAGCAACCACCCTAGCCTGGCACAATCCCCAATCATTTTGTAGGCTTGCTCACTTTAGTCCATCTGGTCGTGCCTATCCCATACAGGAATATCTGTCAATTCACTTAATATGATTACTTAATATGATTTTTATTTTCCCAAATGTCATGGCTCATGAAGAAAAACAAGTGATTCAGAGCTGGAATATCCAGGTAATGGGAAGCTCAGGCCTGGTGCTGGAGTCTGTCTATGCCCGCCTCTCCTGTCCAGCACTGGAGGGTTTTATCAGTGAGAATGGGCTACAGAGTGCTACAGTCACAAATCCCCCCACACACCAAATCTCCGTGTGTAACACAGTGAGAGCTTCATTCTTGCTCAGGGCCATTTTCTCTTAGTCTGTCCTCACCCATCACTCTGGCGAGCTTAGCAACAGCCACTATTTCTGACGTCAATTCCCTAAGTAACAGGGCGTGGCCAGGAGCTCACAGGCACCCAGCTGTGTGTCTCAGGGTGCTGTTTTCCAAGGGTGGAAGACCAAGTCACGACTCACTCCCATGTATTATTGAAACTCGAGGAGTTGAGAAGGCTTTGAGTATTCAGGAAGGTGGCACACGCAGAGAAGCTTTGCTCACCCTTTCTGAGCGCTGTGTGACAGGGGAGGGGGGAGAAATGAGTAGGCTTACAGCCATGGACAGAGACCTGGGAAAGTGCAAACGCACCAACTCCATTGGCGTGGATGTTTCTTACTTCTTGCTGCTGACGACCAGGAGGGGCTTTTAATAGGAGCTGGAGGGTAATCACAATTCTCCTTGAGCCTTGCAGGTGAGGAAGCCCTTTTCCAGGTGAAATAAGAGGCTGTAGATCTAAGTAGACTTGTCTTCAGTACTCTGGGGAGCCCCTCTGAATCAAAAAAAGGAAAGATGGGATAAAGATGGGCCCAGCAGCCAAGGCAGAACCACTCAGGGGTCAGTTTTAGGTGTCAACCAAGAGATCACCACAGGCAATGCTTCGGTGTAGAGATACAGCCCCCTGGACTTGGCAAGAACCCTGGGATTCTCCATGTCCCTGAGCTGGATTTGCCAGCAGTCCATGTGTGCCTTGCAGCCACCCCCTGTAGCTATTGCATCGGAAGAGAAGCAACTCAACAGTGGAGTGCTCTGGGCGCATGGCACACCGTGTGGGGATTCCCAGTCCAGTTCTCCCCAGTGTTCTGGCCCAACTCAGGGAGCAGCATGGCTGCCCGTGTGGGGAGAGGGCCTGAACAGAGGGACTCGGGCGATCAGGTGTTGACTGCCCTCCTGGGAGGTGCCCTGCTACCTCCTACCCATTCTGTGGCTAATTCTGAAGACTTCTTTCCAAGGAGGAGGATTTGGGCTGAGGTTTAGGAACCATTCCCACCCTAGGCTGGAAGGCACACGTGTAATGAAGGGAGACACTACAGAGCTCTGGCTGGTCTTTAAGAGTGTTGGGGATTTCCCTCCCTTCAGGGCCTGGTTATCGGGCTGGATTCCCAGTCTACCTGCACAATCTTGCTGAACCCATGCGCCTGCCTGCGGGGTAATAGAAAAAATGCAACATGGCATCGGAAGATCTTTGTTCATGTCCGCATCCATAACTTCTTACCTGTGTGGCCTCCCTTTTTCTCACTGGAGAAGACGTGGTCTTAACACCTGCCCTTACTTCCTGAGGGTCTTACAAGAAAGAAAATACAGGAATGTAGATAAAAGGCCGTGGACTTGCAAAGTGCCATTGGTACCTTTTTAGTTTGGCAACCCCTTGCCTATGGAAAAGCCAGCCTAAGGCTCATTTCCCATTATTACCACAGCCCAGGGTGACCCTCTGAGGAAGTACTCTGCCATTCCCATTTCCACGGCCGCCCACCTTGCTATGAAAAATCCACAAACGTTAGCATTTGCATAATTTGATGAACTAAAACATTTCACATCAAGCTGAAGATGCCCCTTTTCTTTTGTTTCCTTTACTGAAGTAGAGTGGATATACACTATATTGGCTTCACATGCACAACATAGTGATTGGACAGTTACCTACATTATTAAATGCTCACCCCAGTAAGTGTTACTACTGTCAAAATACAAAGGTATTGAAATACTATTGACTATATTTCTGATGTTGTACTTTCATGAGGCTAACTTATACCATAATTGGGATTTAGGACCTCTTTATCCCCTCAACCTATTTTAACCACTACCCCCTCCCCAGTAGCAACCACTAGACTTTTGTCTATTAAAGATCCCCCTTATTTTAATGCCCACCCAATCCCATCCTCTTTCCTTCTATCTTAGGGTAACTACGGTGATGAATTCTAGGCTATGTTCTTTTATATCTTTAACATGGTCACGTGCCTGCCTTCTCCAGGGCCCCAGATCACCCACCTCACCCCACCCCCTCACACCCCAGACCACCCACCTCATCCCAACCCCATCTGACCCCTACTCCTTTATAAAGGGAAGATGGATTTTGTGTTCTCCAGGCCCCGTGGACACCATCTCACTCCGTCCGTTGAGATGCAGAGCTCTCCTTGGATGGGGCGTGGGTGGATGGAGACACCTGGAGACCTGTTTTAAAACTTGAAAGGGGAGGCTTTGGCACACAGAATCAACCAGAGACCTTATTAATTTAACAAAAACGAAATACCTTTATTGGAAAAAAATGGCAAAACTAGAAGAAAAAACTGAAGTGAACGCTGTGTAAGGGCAGTCTTTCAATAAGACTGCTGGGCATGGCGGCCAGGGGAAACTGCCCCTGGCTATGGGGTAGGCCGTCCGAGCTCAGTTCTTGTCGCTGTTGCCCAGGGTGAGCTTGTCAAAGAGGTACTCAGCCTGGCCGGCTTGTGGGGCTCCCGTCTTGCACAGGATGCTGATACGGTCCCCCAGCTCTTTGATGGACCTGACTTGCCGGTGCAGATAGTGACACTCCAGGAAATCACACAGGTGCGCGTCGCCCTTGTTGGTGGCCAGGCGGTGCAGATCTAGCAGGCTCTGGTTGACCCTCTTTTCCAGGCCCAAGGCATACTCCATGGCCGTCACGCCGTTCCCCCAGTCATCGCGGCCGGGATTCCTGATGTCGCAGAGGCTCAGGCGACCATCGCGCTCGTTCTGCAGGTGCATCAGCTTCTCAGCGCGCTCGCTCTTCCCACGGGACTGGTGCAGGAAGAACTGGCCAAAGTGCTTCAAGGCCACATCATTCCGGTTGAAGTAGAAGGCCATGGACAGGTACGTGTAGGAGGCGGTGAGCTCCATGTTGATTTGTTTGTTGACAGCAGCCTGGCAGTCAAGAGGGTAGTTCTGCACCACTAGGGTTGGCTGTTCACCATTCATGGCAGGCAGTGTGGTGGTGAAGGCGCAGGTGGCCTCAGCGTGTTCCCACGGAGAGCAATGAGAGAGGCTAGAGGCAGGCGGGCTCTGAACCAAGCAGCAGCTCAGGGATGGGACAGGAAATGCGGTCCGTTTTCAGTACCTGTTAGTGGGAGGAACCACTAGGGGCGGAGTCATGTGGTCACGTGGCAGTGTCGCGAGAGGACGGGGTCCTGTGGGGGTGAGGTGGAGTCACATCGGGGCAGAGACATGTTGGGCTGGGATAGGGCAGAGTCACGGGCGTTCGGCAGATTGACGTGAGGGGATGGAGTGTGGCGGGGTCAGGAGGGGAGGTGGGGCTAGGCAGAGTCACGTAGCTGGACAGAGCTACAAGGGCTCTCTGCCTTCTAGGTCCTATCCCGTTCAGCCTTGGTGGGGCAGGAAACCCAGGGCAACTGTGCACTGAGTGTCTTGAGATCATTTTCTAAAATCACAGCTATATTGAGATATAATTTATATCCCATAAACTTCACCTTTTGAAAGCAAACTTTTACATGGTTCTTAGTATACTGGTGGAGTTGAGCAACCTTCATGACAATTTAATTTTGGAACATTTTCATCACTCCCAAGTTTAACACCCTGCCCATTAGTAGTCAATCCCATCCCCTCTGCCCCCAGGCCTTGCTACCACCAATTCATTTTCTGGCTCTATAGATTTGCCTTTTTGGACATTTTAAATAAATGGGATCATACACACAAATTTTACTGAGCATAATGTCTTTAATCTTCATTTTATTGCTAAATAGTATTCCATGATGTGAATATACCACTTTTTATTTATCCTTTCATCAGTGGGTGGGTATTTGGGTTATTTCCACTTTGTGGCTATTATGAATAATTTTACAATGAACACATGAGTACAGGCATTTGTGTACACATAGGCTTTCAATTCTCTTGGGAATATACGTAGGCGTGGGGCTGCTGGGTCGTATAACTGTTTAATATTTTGAGGGACTGCCAGAATGTTTTCCAAAGGGGCTGCACCATTTTACATTGCCACCAGCAATGTGTGAAAGTTCCAATTGTCTTTTGAAAAATGTTTTTAGTCATCTTCGTGGACCTGAAGTATTATCACGTTGTGGCTTTGATTTGCATTTCCCTAATGACTAATAATGTTGAGTAGCTTTGTAGGTACTTACTGGCCACTTGTATATCTTCTTTGCAGTAATGTCTACTCCAATCCTTTACCCCTTTCTAAGTAGAATGGTTTATCTTTTTATGGTTGAGTTTGTAAGGGTTCATATGTTCTGGATACAAGTTCCTTATCAGGTATATGATTTGCAAATATTTTGTCCCATTCTGTGGGTTGTCTTTGCACTTCCTTAATGATGTCCTTTGAAGCACAAAACTTCTGATGATTACAATTAAGGCCAATTCATCTTTTCTTTGTCACTTAAGCTTTTGGTGTCATATCCAAGAAACCACTTGCCTAATCAAGATTGATTTGGCTATTCTGGACCCATTGTGTTTCCATATGAATTTTGGGATAAGCTTGCTAATTTCTTCCAAAGACGCCAGCTGCGATATTGATAAGGATCATAATTAAATCTGTACATTATTTGGGGGTGTATTACTATCTTAACAATATTAAGTCTTCCAACCCATAAATGCGGGATGTCTTTCAATTTGTTTAGCTCTGAGATCTTTTAAAAAGTACATTCTGATTTAGACTGGGGCTGAAATTTCGAATTTCTAAACAGGCTCTCAGGTGATGCCAGACCATTTTCTGAGTAACAACACTCTAAAAGGGAAGAGGCTTCCATCCTTTGTTGTCTTAGACTAGGCCCTGAGAAGAGCAGAGTAGGCATTTAATCTGAATCTTGACCAGCCTGTTTACTCTCTTACTTTTTATTAATGAGCAACCACCCTAGCCTGGCAGAATCCCCAATTATTTTATGGGCTTGCTCACTTTTTTCCATCTGGTCGTGCCTATCCCATACAGGAATATCTGTCAATTCACTTAATATGATTACTTAATATGATTTTTATTTTCCCAAATGTCATGGCTCATGAAGAAAAACAAGTGATTCAGAGCTGGAATATCCAGGTGATGGGAAGCTCAGGCCTGGTGCTGGAGTCTGTCTATGCCCGCCTCTCCTGTCCAGCACTGGAGGGTTTTATCAGTGAGAACGGGCTACAGAGTGCTGCAGTAACAAATCCCCACACACACCAAATTTCCGTGTGTAACACAGTGAGAGCTTCATTCTTGCTCAGGGCCATTTTCCCTTAGTCTGTCCTCACCCATCACTCTGGCGAGCTTAGCAACAGCCACTATTTCTGATGTCAATTCCCCCAAGTAACAGGGTGTGGCCAGGAGCTCACAGGCACCCAGCTGTGTGTCTCAGGGTGCTGTTTTCCAGGGGTGGAAGACCAAGTCATGACTCACTCCCATGTATTATTGAAACTCAAGGAGTTCAGAAGGATGTGAGTATTCAGGAAGGTGGCACATGCAGAGAAGCTTTGCTCACCCCTTCTGAGCGCTGTGTGACAGGGGAGGGGGGAAAAATGAGGAAGCTTACAGCGATGGAGACAGACCTGGGAAAGTGCAAATGCACCAACTCCATTGGCGTGAATGTTTCTTACTTCTGGCCGCTGTTGCTACACATATTCAAAAGGTTGTTTGTGGACCCCAAAGGTGAACCAAAAGAAAGCGGTTTAGAACAGTCACTTTTGTCTTACAGAAGAACAATAAGTTGAGAAACCATTGAGCTGTGCTGTATCTAGTCTTCCCTGCCAGGGTTTCTCTACAAAAAGCTGTGAAATGTGACACTACCAGGAGGGGCTTTTAGTAGGAGCTGGAGGGTAATCACAATTCTCTTTGGGCCTTGCAGGTTAGAAAATCCCTTTGCAGGTGAAATAAGAGGCTGTAGATCTAAGTAGACTTGTCATCATTATTCCAGGGAGTCCCTCTGCATCACAAAAAAAGGAAAGATGGGATAAGGATGGGCCAAGCACAAGAAAAACAAAAGCAAAAATGAACAAGTGGGACTATATAAGCTGAAAAGTTTCTGTACAGCAAAGGACACCATCAATAGAACAAAAAGGAACCCTACAGAATGGGAGAATATATTTGTAAATGACAGATTGATAAAGATTGACATCTAAAATATATAAAGAGCTCATGCACCTCAACAAACAAAAAGAAAATAATCCAATTAAAAAATGGGTAGAGGAACTGAATAGACAGTTCTCCAAATAAGAAACTCAGATGGCCAGCAGACACATGAAAAGATGCTCCACATCGCTAGTTATCAGAGAAATGCAAATTAAAACCACAATGAGATATCACCTCACACCAGTAAGGATGGCTACTATCCAAAAGACAAATAACAACAAATGTCAGGGAGGTTGTGGAGAAAGGGGAACCCTCCTACACTGCCGGTGGGAATGTAAATTAGCTCAACCATCATGGAAAGCAGTATGGAGGTTCCTCAAAATGCTCAAAATAGACTTACCATTTGACCCAGGAATTCCACTTCTAAGAATTTACCCTAAGAATGCAGCACTCCAGTTTGAAAAAGACAGATGCACCCCTATGTTTATCGCAGCACTATTAACAATAGCCAAGAAATGGAAGCAACCTAAGTGTCCATCAGTAGATGAATGGATAAAGAAGATGTGGTACATATACACACTGGAATATTATACAGCCATAAGAAGAAAATTAATCCTACAATTTACAATAACATGGATGGAGCTAGAGGGTATTATGCTCAGTGAAGTAAGCCTAGCAGAGAAAGACAAATACCAAATGATTTCACTCATCTGTGGAGCATAAGAACAAAGGAAAAACTGAAGGAACAAAAGAGCAGCAGAATCATAGAACCCAAGAATGGACTAACAGTTACCAAAGGGAAAGAGACTGGGGAGAATGGGAGGGAAGAGAGGGATAAGGGTGGGGAAGAAGAAAGGGGGTATTATGATTAGCATGTATAATGTGTTGGGTGGGGGGGATGGGGAGGGCTGTGCAACACAGAGAAGGCAAGTAGTGATTATACAACATCTTGCTATGCTGATGGACAGGGACTGTAATGGGGGTTATGGGGGGGACTTGGTGTAGGGTAGAGCCTAGTAAACATAATGTTCTTCATGTAATTATAGATTAATCATAACCAAAAAAGGGGAGATTACTCCCTGATAGGATATAATTAACTGCAAATCAATGATTAATGCATGCTTTACATATCCTTAATTTTGATCTTTTAAAGGGTGTCGGATGATCAGATATGGAAGTACATTTTTCTGATAATATTTCTTTCTCTTAAAGAAAAGCAGTTCCTGTGTGGTGATCTCCAATAGGTTCTTCACAGTGGTATAAAGGTCCTATCAAAGTGTGGGCAAAGGGTTTGTTTGTGTTTATACAAAGGATCAAAGCCTAATTTGGCTACCCAGAAAACGAATTAAGAAATGATATGAAGAAGAACTTCCAACATCAATATCCTCTGGAAGAGTCATTCCAGAAGATGATCATCAAAAAACTTCATTTGATCCTGGAGCTTTTGCAGTTGTAGCTGCAGTCATCCTGCCGGTTCCTGGACTTGCCGTTGGAATGAAGAAGGAGATATCTAAGCTGGCCTGTGCATACAGTAAAACAACAAATTTGACTGGTTCTATATTGTCAGAACTCAACCAAGAATTAGGAGAAGTGCGAGTTGCAGTGCTTCAAAATCGTGCTACTATAGACTATCTATTATTAAAAGAACATATGGGATGTGAACAGTTCCCAGGAATGTGTTCTTTTAATTTGTCTGATTTTTCTCAAACTAGTCAAATTCAGTTAGACAATATCCATCATATTATTGATAAGTTTTCACAAATGCCTAGGGTACCTAACTGGTTTTCTTGGTTTCACTGGATATGGCCGGTAATTGTAGGTCTGCTTTTGTTATGTATCTGTATTCCTATTCTGTTAATGTGTGTG